AACCTTGAGATCACATTTTCTTAACCAAGGTCGAGCTCGAACCTTCAAACAACAAATTTAGGAGCTCCTCAGAAGCCCCTTCGCTCTTACATCACTCGGTGCTTGGGGGCAAGTGTACTGGCCAGCCAAGTTGCCGACTTGTCCCTCACCAATCTATTGACTCAATCAAAGGTTTACCAGCCTGACCAAGCAGTAAACTCATCATTGCCGAGTTCCTCAGCTCGGCCATGAAACATGGACATTGGAATACCACATTGGTCCAAAGAGGCAACATCATCAAACAGATAAAAATACAATCTTGTTACCACGCAGCTTACACGTTCTCGAGAACGAGGCGACAGTTGCAACACATGGCATCTTGACAAGCAAGCATATACGCGAAAGGTCACTGCTCCCTGACGAGCTCGGTCTTAACTCTTCGACCTACGGTCTTCGGAGCTCGGGGGGCTACTGTACTATCCGTACTGCGAAGCCGAGCTCCGAGCTCAGCACCACAGCACAGGACGACCTCGGACACACGCTGTGTGACGTCAGCTCGTCATCCTAATCAGATCATAACTGATCTCGGGCCCAAGGCCCAACACAACCCTAATTCACACCAAGGTACGTGCATTATTTATACGAGACTCACACTCATACAAACTCTAACTTTAGCATCGGAGTCTCTTTTACAGGTACCACCCCCATCTTGGAGCATCAAGTGTACCAGCGTAGGAGGCTCACCAATCTTACTCGGAGGATCAGCTCTACAGCAGATTTCCGGTAAGAACAATATATATATTTCAATTACACCTTTCAATATATGACTTTTAATTAGGTGGAGCTTTTTCAAAATATATTATTAAATTATAATATTTAATATTAATTCAAAATTATAAGATTAAATTAACATAATATATATTTTAAAAAGATGCTATATATGAATAATTAATTTTATTATTTTCTTATTATTGTTCAATTTTAATAAAGTTTAATATACACATTTAAAGAATATATATAAAATTATTGTTCAAAAGTTTGATTGATAAAATTTCTTTAATCAAGGACGAATCTATGGCCAAGGTAGCAGGAGAAATTACCCCACTAAAATTTTACTTTATCTCATTTATATATGTATTATTATTTTCATTTTATAACATATATTAATAATTATATTTTAATTTACTACAAAAAAAATTTCAACTAATGACACACGCCTTATAATAAGTTAGTGATATAACATTTGTCACTAAAAATTACTTTTACATACATTATAGATACAATATATTTTGATATATTGTTAAAAAATATTAGTATAAATTATAGTAACACATAATATATGTTATTGAATCTTATTTAAAATCAATATTAAAATTGTGTATAACTATATATGTCAAATAAATTTATACCTATATATATTATATTTATAGTAACACTTTTTGTATATCTCTGTATTTAACATTTCTTGTAATGATTATTTTATTATATTTAATATGTTAAAATATATTAATAATTCATTTATATTTTATTTTATTGTGTAATTATTTTCTTTTTATGACAAAATTGCCTTAATTTTCATATTATTATAATATACTTTATTTTTTGACTAAAAAATTTATTACTTCTTTACTCATTAAAGATGTCATAATTTAGTTTACAAATACAGATTGTTTTTCAATTTTTATTGTAATTTTTAACACTTTTGATATTGTATATGCACATTGTATGTTGGTAAGAGGGGATCCACATTATGGGGAATAAGAGTGTCACACAAAATTTTTCTTTTTTATACTTAAGTGGTATATAATATAATATAATAGAAAGAAAGATAAAATAAAATAATAAACATT